GATGGGGGTAGTCTCTGCGTGTGTGTCTGTGTGAGAGAGAGGGATAGTGTACGCTCTGTGTGTCTGTGTCTGTGTGTGAAAGGGATTGAGGTCGTGTCTGTGTGTTACTGGGATACAGTTAGTCTGTCTCTGTGTGTGAGAGCGATGGAGGTAGTCTCTCTGCGTGTGTGTCTGTGGGGCGAGAGGGCTGGAGGTAGTCTCTCTGACTGTGTGTCTGTGTGGGAGAGAGGGATGGAGGGAGTCTCTCTCTGATTTTCTGTGAGAGTGAGAGGAATGGAAGTAGTCTGTGTGTATCTGTGTGAGAGAGAGGAATGGAGGATGCCTCTGTGTGTGTCTGTGTCGGTGAGAGGGATGGAGGTAGTCTCTATGTGTGTGTCCGTGTGAGCAAGAGGGAAGAAGGTAGGCTGTGTGTGCAGAGAGGGAAGGATGTAGTTTTTCTGTATGTGTGTCTGTGAGGGACAAATGGATGGAGGTAATCTCTGTGTGTGTTTCTGTGATAGAGAGGCTTGGAGGTTGTCTGTGTGTGTGTTTGTGTGACAGAGAGGGATGGAGGTACCCTCTCTGTGCGTGTCTGATAGAGAGGAATGGAGGTCATCTTGCTGTGTCACTGTGGGAAAGAGGGATGGAGGTAGTCTCTCTGAATGTGTGTCTGGGTGAGAGAGAGGGATTGAGGTCGTCTCTCTGTGTTTGTGTCTGTGTCTGTGTCTGTGTGGGGGTGAGGGAAGGAGGTAGTCTCTGTGTATCTGTCTCTGTGTGGGAGTGAGGATTGGAGGTAGTCTCTGTGTGGGAATGAGGGATGGAGGTAGTCTCTGTGTATGTGTGTCTGTGTGGGAGTGAGGGATGGAGGTCGTCTCTGTGTATGTGTGTCTGTGTGGGATTGAGGGATGGAGGCAGTCTCTGTGTATGTGTGTCTGTGTGGGAGTGAGGGATGGAGGCAGTCTCTGTGTATGTGTGTCTGTGTGGGAGTGAGGGATGGAGGTAGTCTCTCTATGTGGGATAGAAGGATAGAGGTATCCTCTGTATGTGTATGTCTGTGGGAGAGAATGATGGAGGTAGTCTCTCTTTCTGTGTGTCTGTGCAGGAGAGAGGGATGGAGGTAGCCTCTCTGTGTGGGAGACAGCGATGGATATAGTCTCTGTGTGTGTGTGTGTGTGCCTGTGTGGGAGAGTGTGCTGCAGATCATCTCTGTGTGTGTGTCTGTGTGGGAGACAGCGATGGAGGTAGTCTGTGTGTGTTTCTCTCTGTGGGAGAGATGGATGGAAATAATCTGTCTGTGTCTGTGTTAGGAGAGGAATTGAGGTTGTCTCTGTGTGAGATAGAGGGGTGGAGTTAGACTCTGTGTGTGTGTGTGTCTCTTTGTCTTTGTGGGACAGAGCGATGGAGGTAGTCTCTGTTTGTGCGTGTCTTTGTGGGAGAGAGGGATGAAGGTAGTCACTCTGTCACTGTCTGTGTCAGAGAGGGATGGTGCTAGTCTCTGTCTCTGTCTGTGTCTTTGTGGGAAAGAGGGATGGAAGTCGTTGCTGTGTGTGTGTGTCTGTATGGGAGAGAGGGATGGAGGTCGTCTCTGTGTGTGTGTGTGTGTGAGAGAGAGAGGGATGGAGGTGGTCTGTGGGAGAGAGAGGGATGGAGGTAGTCTGTGTGTGCATCTATCTGTGTGAGAGAGAGGGGATGGAGGAAGTCTCTGTGTGCGAGTGTCACTCTGTGAGAGAGGGGATGGGGATAGTATCTGTGTGCGTGTCTGCGTCACTGTCTGAGAGAGTGGATGGGGATAGTAGCTGTGTGTGTGAGCGACGGGATGGAGGAAGTCTCGGTGTGCGCGTGTCATTGTGAGAGAGGGGATGGAGGTAGTCTCTGTGTGCGTGTGTCACTGTGTGAGAGAGGGAATGGGGATAGTATCTGTGTGTGTGTCTATCCGTGCGAGAGAGGGGATGATGGAATTCTCTGTGGGCGTGTGTCACTGTGTGAGAGAGGGGATGGAGCTCGTATCTGTGTGTGTGTGTGTGTGTGTGTATGTGTGCGTGCGCACGCGCGCGCCACTGTGTGAGAGAGGAATGGAGGCAGTCTCTGTGTGTGTGCGCGCGCCTGTGAGAGAGATGGAGAGGGTCTCTGGTGTGTGTGTTTCTGTGTGAGATAGGGATGGACGTAGTCTCTCTGCGAGTGTGTATGTATGAGAGAGAGGAATGGAGGTAGGTTCTCTGCCTGTGTGTGTTGGAGTGAGAGACTGATGGAGGTCGTCTCTTTGTGTGTGTCTCTGTGAGGGAGAGGGATAGAGGTAGATTCTCTGCGTGTGTGTCTGTGTGAGAGAAAGGGATGGGGGAAGTCTCTCTGCGTGTGTGTCTGTGTGAGAGAGACGGATGGAGGTATTCTCTGCGTGTGTGTCTGTGTGAAAGAGTGGGATGGTGGTAGGCTCTATGTGTGAAAGGGATTGAGGTCGTGTCTGTGTGTTACTGGGATACAATTAGTCTGTGTGTCTGTGCGAGCGAGGCGGATGGAGGGAGCCTCTCTTGTGCGAGCGAGGC